TATCTTTAAATCTCAACAAGTTCCTCTTGGACTTGGAGGAGAACATTGCATTCTCTATGATAAGTATTGTTCCCTNTGACCATGACCACGAATAGGGCCACGGCCTTTTCCACGCTTAGTATAATGGGAATACACCTCATCCACTTCAGGCAATAGTGTAGACCCAGTGGGTCGATTTTCGTGATTTCTCATGAGCAAGTCGTTATTTCGCTCAGCCACAAGGAGAAGAGAAATCAACTCAGAGTACTTCTTGAAACATTTCTCTCTGTATTGCTGTTGCAAGACTATATTGGAGGCATGAAACGTTGTGAACGTTTTTTCAAGCATATCATAATCAGTGATAGTATCTCCACAAAGTTTCAATTTAGAAGTAATTCTGAACATTGCATAATTATATTCAGAAACAGACTTAAAGTCTTAGAGCCTCAGATGAGCCCAATCATATCGTGCTTGTGGAAGAGTGACCAACTTTAAGTTGTCATATCTTTCCTTTAAGCCANNAAAGAACAATATTGCAGAGAAAGAGAGAGGAAATTCTTATTGAATTTTGGGATGATTTACAATGGGGTAGGACCCCTCTATTTATAGGGGGGGGGGAGAATGACTTAGTCACAAAGTAAAACTCTCTACAAGATAGACATTCACTCTAAATAGAATTCTATTCATAACAAATAAGCATATATAAAGACAGAATTGCTCTTTCAAAACCTTTTCCAAATCCTTTCCAACACATGTCGAGATTATTTGTCACCAAACAACTTTTTAAAAAAAATTATGCAATGCATGTTATTTTTAATACATCAAACCAAAAGAACCGATAAGAAATAATCTCAGCATAACTAATTCCAATTTTACTAATACCTTATTCAATACTATTCCTATACACCTTACAAACGACCCCTAATACTAATAAGACACATATACCTAACGAAATAGAAGTGGTCAAATGATGGTCCAGATATACTTATTTGATGCTTGTATGGGTGAAAAAATGTAGGTACCCAATGGAATAGTCGAGAACTCGAGATGCACACGAGCAACACCACTGCTATTGTAATGTTTCATTCATGTTAATCTGAGAGCACTTTCAAGTAAGTTTCCCTAATAACTTGAGAGAAATTATAAGTGAACTTCAAATGTTTCCCGAACACACATCGTGTATTGTTCAATTCTACAAACCTGAGACCACAAAGCCTAGACAAGTTATGAATGATGGCACAAGTCTTAGGCAATGACACCAGCAAAATGCAGATTACCTATTCTCCTTACTGCAGGCATAATAACCTATTTCAGTTTAGCATAAAGCTATTCATCACTCTTCTAAAAAGAAAGGTCAAGAAGCTAAGACAACCCAGGGGTGATATGTTAATCGCCATTATCTCGTTCTTCCAGTATCAGTAGCAACACCTTCCCCCAAAAACAAGCAATAAAGATTTCATGCAAGCCACATTCAGTGGTACCAACCAGGCAAAACGAAATTTTGGAAAACAAGGCAGAGCCACACAGGCAATGCTATTTCTCAACCCATACAGAAAAGGAAGCACACATCCACGGAGCAGGTAACCAATTTAAGAACAATAAAACAATCAGATACTAAAAAGAGCAGAGTCCAGAAAGAATTCTAGGGGTATGCTACCAGAATACCATGGCAACCTTAGCAATTATGCTAGTCAAATCACACACACAAAAAAAAAAAGCTGCAAACAACTCAACATAAATATTTAAAAGGCATGGTTCGACATATGAAAGTTACTCCTGCAGTCATGCTGCAACTTTAGCACTTATACCAGTCAAACCACAATAGACCTTCAACCAACAGAACAAATATTTAAGAGGGATTCATCATATAAGTTTCTTCTGGAGTCGTGCTACCCATATTTGATTTCTTGCAACATGAAATACATCAATACGCAGTTTAAAATTTATGATTGTAATATTTAGTTAGCCGACATCATTATTTAAACTGAATAAATCCTTGCTGCAACTTTCGAGCTACATTAGAAGAGTTGGCTTCAAAGCTTTTAAGTCATTAACTTTCAAAGAGTGATTGTCAATGAAGAAAACCTATCCTAACCGTCTCTTCTATATCCAGCACATCTATTTGCGCTCACTCTAGCTCGATGATCAAGTTTGTAAAGGTTTTTATAGAAAGCTTGTCCTTCAATGAAGTGGCATGGGTATTTTCAAAACATTCGTGTTCTGCAGCACTTCTATTGACACATCTGAAGAAGAGGGCATCAGTATCTTCTTCATTTAGTGCCTTGTCCTAAAAGGAAGGCATTTGAAGTCCTCATCTTAATCTTGCCACCTCCACTATAATTTCAAGATGCAACTAGCAGTCCCACTATTTCACCATTTTTTTCTTATTCACATGTAGGTATATTGCTTCACCAATATATCTTTCCATTCTCTTCCACAAGGTGCACCTTTTGGTTTCCAGTGCCAGTTTTCTGGTTAATCAAGACAATAATAAGATTTGGTTTTTTTTTTCTAAAATAATCGATAAAATTCCAAGGGCCAGTGGTTCCCGGTTCGAAACTCTGTACAACATGGGGCCCCTTCTACCCTTCTCCACATAAATACCAGAATTTTATTTGCACCCGTGATGTGCATCTAACCTACATATCACGTGATGCGCTCTTACTAGTACAACCAAAACCCAGAACCCTTGGGCATACGTACTAGGAAATTTCATCCCTAAAATTGTGTTTTCTTGTCAAATACGACCTTCTGGATAAAGAACTTGCCATCATTCCCCAAACTGCCATTTCCAGCAAATAAGCTCTTTTTTGTTGGAACAGGCAAGGAACGTATATATTATAGAAAAGCTTAGCACTAAGATGGTGCTATGGCAATACAAATATTGTATCAAGATAAACTTGCAATAAGCTTATGAGCTCAAAATACATGGTTCTTTTGTAGTTGTTTCTTCTTCTTTCTTTTTTTTTTTTTGGGCCGTTTCCCTGATTGAAACATGCTAAAATGAAACCTTTACATGAATAGTTTCTTTCCCGGAAGATTTACACCTTCAGTAATAAATTAACTGAATGATCAACAATGAGGTCCATCGAGAACAGTAGTATTTGTGGTAGCTTTGCCACTTTTTCTGTTTTTGATTCTTGTTAGTTTACATGTGTGTTACAAAAACTTTTATCTTTTGACATTGGATTTAGGTGCACTTTTTTTATATTGATGGGGAATTCCATATACAAGCCGTATATCAATACAAAAATATGGCTCTCTAAGAAAGGCACCCAATCTTCTATACAAACAGGGACCTCATGGTGTGTACCAAAAGGGAACTAGAGATAAAATACTATTCCCTCCGTTTCAATTTATATGATATACTTTCCTTATTAGTCTGTCAAAAAAAAGAATGACACATTTCTATATTTGAAAATAATTTAACTTTAAGCTTACCATTTTACCTTTAATGAAAAGTTTTTATAGTCACGCAAATGTTATCGCCCCCCAATGCTTTCACCCTTTCTGCTTTAAAGACCACAAGTTTCAAAAGTCTTTTTTTCTCCCTTAAACTCTGCACCGAAGCGTGTCATACAAAGCTGAAACGGAGGGAGTATTCCTTAGATTTGCAGATCATTTTCTACTCCTTCAAAAGTTCTCCTAATTCTCTTCCTTAAACTCTGCACCGAAGCGTGTCATACAAAGCTGAAACGGAGGGAGTATTCCTTAGATTTGCAGATCATTTTCTACTCCTTCAAATGTTCTCCTAATTCTCTTCCTTCATACAACCCTTAACGGAGCAACATCTCATGCCCAAGCTATTCTCTTTCTCCCTCAAAAAACCCAGTTGTGTCGTGCTTCCTTTTATGGTCCATGCATCACCCATGGCACTCCAAACCAGCTTAGGACTACCCATCACAACAACATCGCTTCCTGGCAATGCAACAAGAGATGGTCCTACATTTCACCCGAATATTGACGCATAAAGCACAAACTCACATAAGTGATTCTTTTCTTTTTTGGGTTTTCTGTTGTCGGTATAGCACCCCTAGGTCCCAACAACGCTGAAACACTCCTTCTTGGGCGTCATAGGGATCCAATTGTTTGGTGCTCTCTCTCTCTCTACCCCCCCCCCCCCCATCCTCGCAAACTATGGTAGTAAGATTTGATTGTAAACAAGCACCAGATCACCACGCGTCCGGTATATCATTCGCTATGATATGCTTGTAAAGTAGTTCCACCAGCTCCCAATCCTCAGGATTTCTCTTAAACCTCAAATCCAATGAACTTCCACTTCATGTATCCTAAGGATCTATTGTACTGGTCATCTCCCACTGGCATGACTCTGTAAGTGTTAAAAAGGCAATTCTCAATGCACAGTCTTCACACCACTGTTGATTTGCTATTGTCTCCTACCCTGAAAGTGATATGTCAACGATAGTCTCCCCATCCTTTCATAATGCAACTCCACAGTCCATATTCAAATGTAACATTATGTTTTTGGTCCTCCGCCCACTTCCAAAACAATTATTGTACATCTAAAACAATCATTACAGACTAGTATACTATGAAGTTAAAAGAGTAACTTCTCTTATTAAAAAAGTGGAAATGGCTGAAACTAAAGTTAAAAACAGGGAAAAATGCCTTTATGAAACATAGTAAATGATAAAGCTTCAGAAAGGTATGAAAGAGCAGGAGAGAAAAACTTAAATACCAGGCCTAGTCATTATCCAATTTACCAGTATATTCTGGAAAGGTTGCTAGAACAGAATATCCCCCCCCTCCGCGCGCTCAACCATATATATACATACATAGAATAACCCAAACAGGTAAAGTGACTTCTCTAGTACATATTCAAATAGTGGCATAGAAAATGCCCATTATGTAAGACCAAAATGATTCAACTCAATTGAGTTCTCAATTACCTCAGGTCAGTGCTTAACACAGGTTAGGCAAAATAAACAATTTATTTGCACCATAACAAAATGGGTTACTGGAATGCAATCCAACAGTAGAACATCATGTTACACACCATATATTTGGAAAAGGCAACCAATTAGAGAGTCAACCCAAAAGAAGAATTATTCATAATACAATAAGCAAGTGACAGTAGGGCAGCAACTAAAGTCTGATTATTTCATCGAAATCAGTTTCATCAAAAAAATTCAAATCAGAAAGGGCAACTCCCCTCTTACATGGTTTCTCCACCAAGAAACAAATCCAGAAAATCCAAAAACAAAACAAAAAGACAGTTTAGTATTTCCTGTATTTAGCTACCTCTCCTTCATTGGGGAAAAAACCCATGAGTCTTCCAGCTGAATTCTGGTAAGCGTACATGAATCCTCCCATAACCCCAATTAAACCTCCTGTTACCATTGATGGGCCCCTTATCCCTGGCTTTATTCCTACACAAATCAAATGCAAAAATTAAATATAACTAATCAAGAACAACCAAATCGATATGAAAATGTGAATAGAAAATGATTAAAAAAAAGTACCAGAGAGGTAGCCGACAGTGACAGAGATGCCGGCGATAGTAGTAAGGCGAAGGTAATCAAGAGTGTTGAAGTTGGCAACGGTTTTAGTGAAAGGAGGGTTTCGATCTATAACTGGGTATTCGGGCTTTGCCGATGCGGTAATGTCTGTGTTCATCTTTCTTCTTCTTCTCTCTTGGGTTTTGCTATTCTTCGCTCGTCTTCCGTCTTGCTAAATGGGCGAGGGGATTTTGAGATGGGTTTTAAGCTTTTCGGTGGGGAGAGAGCATGAGGGTCTTAACCAAAATGGTCCTTAACTTTTCATCCTTAGGCACAAGCGATTCCTAATTTGTTACTTGTATACTTATGGTCCAATTAACATAAGGATTTAAATTTTTCCTATATATATTAGGACAATATTTACTCGATTTAGCTAGGTTTATTCTATTTCCAAAAAGTAACTAAATTTTATTTATAATATATATATAAATTCAGGCAAAAGCTACAATATATATACATTTTTTTGTCGTATAGAATTCTATCAAAAGCTACAATATAAAGTTTTTGTTGTACATAATTTGGTCAAACACATACAACTTGTATACACCTTGCATACAATCATGTTCGTTATATTTATTTTGTATGTTATTTGGTCAACAATGCCTTTTTAATATTCGAAAACGATCAATTTTACCCTCTGTTATACTATTCGGCCATAAATACTCTAATGTCATAAAAGTGGCTCAAATATACCCTTCATATGTTGGGCTTTCCAAGGTGAAAGCTCAATCCTAAGTAGCACTGGCATTTTGACTAGGTGGACACCATATAGCATGTCACCTCATCGCCAACCCAAGTTACACCCTTTTCCTACAGTTCTTCCACCACTAACACCTCCTCCCCTTCCGCCACCACTTTCACAATCAATATTACCATGACCACCACCATTTTTATTGGTGTTCAAAAAAGCTGTCATTTTAATTCCATTTCATAATTAGTAATGTAGAGATTTTTTTCCCTTGTAATTCCATTTCAATTCTAACCCATTTTCAAACAATTTTGAGTACCCTCTGTTGTATATTTTTCTTTTGTGGGGATATATTTAGAGTGTACATATCCTTCAGATTAGTGTTTAACCATAAAATGATATATTTGAATTTATACGTGGTTTCTAGACAAGTAAATTAGTTCGATCCTGAAATAATAAAATAATTAAAGAAATACGGAATATTTAGCCTTGAAATGAAGATAAAATAGCAGAAACAATAATTCTGGGAGAAGGGCTTTGGGGCACCACAACAATGAAATCAAGGAGTAAGAAGATAAAATTGTATAAAGCTTTGAATCGATTATAGCATAAGTTTGCTAGAAATTCGTGTCATTTACAATGATAACAAAGCTCACTATTTATAGTTGCGCCTAGGGAACAAGGTCCTAGGATCTTGCTCTTCTTTAATGTCAATTATGAGGGCCATTGAAAAATGTGTACCGGTGAGCATAAATGACAAATTCTTTGTAACGAGCAGTGTACTAAATGTTGCGGAATATTCTCTATCAAATGCTACCGGGCAGAAGGTATTTATTACATCTTTATGAGCGTCATTTTTTCCACTAACAAATGGAATAGTTGTCTTCGGTTTTAACTATCCTCCGCCTTCGGCTCCACGTGCCACTCTCTTATGCAACCCCTTATCATACCATATTTTACCCTAGACAGATAGTTCCCCTGTTTTCCGGTGACATAACTTTGTGTCACTGAGAAGCTGGTAGAAACACTCTTTTTGGCGGGAATTACTATGATCCCCTCTAAAAAGCTTCTGACGGTTGATTAGATGCGCGTCTCTCCGCATTTAATGCCCCGAACATGCATCGTCCTACGATTCAGCATAACTTTTGCCGGTTATCGAAGTAATCATTGCCACGAATTTAGCCGCCTAAACCTTTACTTATACGCATCAACCTCCTTCATTCATACTTCATAATTCTCCAAACTCTCTTCATTCAACTTGTATTATGTTCTTCAACCTTTCTTTAACTCTTTTCAAGCGAGAAAAACTTTTCCTTCTTCCATAACATATAATGGTTTCTTCTTAAAAAAATACCAGTTCCTCAAAGAACAAAAACAAAGCTGAGGACACTGGTCCTCCAAAGTGAGCACCATCATCCCTAGAAGTCTTGTTACAACAAAAGACTTCGAAGAGAAATTTCCTTCTGTTAGCCCTCATACATGGGCTGTTAGTAGATATATTTCTTCCATCCGTCCTTTCAGTATTCCTGTTGTGAAGGAAGATTGTTGTTGCCAGGATTTAGACATCATCGCTCCTGACTTGGCAGAGCGGGTAACCTTATCCAAGAAGGGCTTTATGTACTTCTATATATATCCCTTTACTTTGGGGACATTTTCTTTGAGTGGAGAGCTTAACTCCGTCATTGAGGAGTTTTGCCTCCGCTATCAAGTGTTTTTGGCACAAGTGAGCCCCTCCGTGTGGAGGAAGATTGCTTGCCTTCATCGTCTATGCCAGGAAACAGTAGAGGGGTTATCTTTAGCTCATGTGATGAACCTTTATTTCCCCAAGATCTTCCGTGGGG